TGATCATTTGTTGATGCTTGGTTTGTACGGTCTCACATCCTAGAGCCCAAATTGAAGAATCATGGAAGAATTGAAGATTGAAGTTCGTTTCGACATGTGTCACCCTTGAGGCTCGGATCACGTAGTTGCTCGATTTTGGAAGATTTGAAGTGGGTCATTCATTCCTAACTTTGAGGGGGAGAATGTTGGGGTACAAAGTTTTCCTTGAATGACTTTGTAATGTTTGACTTTTGTAAAACTCACTTGCATGTGGTGCATTAGCCTTTTGACTTGAGATAGAGAGTGAGAGAGAGACATGTAAACACCTCTATATAAGGTGGGTTTAGTCCACTTGTAGAGGTGTGCTTGAGAGATGTAAAAGTGAGTGTGTAAGTGTGTGTTATTTATGTAGTCTAGATCTAGATCCTTTTTGTGTAACACCATATACAATCAATACATCTCTTGAACACCCAAATCACCATGTTCATTGTGCAAACTTTAATTCCGCATGCCAAACCATGTTCTTATGTCACTGCAAGGACCATTTGAGAGTCACAATAAGCTGTGGAGTTCCTCAAACTCCAAGAGAATTTATGGAAGGGACCAAAATCATCTAAAATGAGCTCAAACTTGAAACAAGAAGAACAAAGGTAAATATGTGAAGTTTATACCTCCAACAAATCGGAAAACTATAGAGAATGATGGATCCAAACTAGCTCCTTGCTTCCTTGCACAATAATGAACTTCCTTCTTCTTCAAGTTTCATCAAAAACCATGAACAAGGCCTCCAACTAATCAGACAAGCTCATAAGCATGAAATAGGGGCTAGGGTTTTGGAATAGGGAGATGGAGGCTGAAAGAGATGCCTTAATCTAGGAGTTGAGGTGTTTAAATATGGGAGAAACCCTAAAATCATGGGCTTGGGCTACAATAGATGTCACATAGTAGCCCTCCTTGTGCCACATCATGGAGCTCACCAACTAAATGTGTTATGTAATTGCCATGCTACGTCGTGGCACTCCATGCGCCACGTTGTGGCATATGTTTTTCCTCAAACATCATGCCTTCGACTCCTTTATATCATTAACTAATCCATTCTATAAAACGGGTGTTACATAACAAAGTTTTCTCCAAAGGTTCGATCTAACAGACATCCTTGATAATGACTATTTACATGTAAGGTTTTCTCCAAAGGAACTATCCATACAAAAAAAGTTTCAAAAGGACTATATTACGGAAAAACCGAAAAACAACTAGGGCCATTTGTGAAGTTTTTTTAAAAACATATTGTGACTCATTATAATCCAAATAAAAAGTTCAATAACCTAAAATAACAAAAACAAAAAAAAAATCTTTTTACCTTAGAAAAGTAAAAAGAAATATATCACCTATTGTTACCGGTCATAGTGACCATTTGAGAAAAATAAATATCCAGTAACATTTTAGAACATAAAATGAATTAAATGATCATATATGACATTAACCTTTAATAGTAACTAGTAAACATGCTTGTGCTAACAGGTCGGTTTTTTTCTATAATGTTTTTTTGGTGGTTGTTGTTTGTCATTGGCAAGTTAAATAACGTACATATATTTCATGACATAATGCAGTAAATACATTTTGCAAAGAGTCAAGCATACAACTACTCAAAAATGTACTTCCAAAGTACATTACTATTTTGATGTATTTAAACCTAAAAAATCCAACTAACCTATTGTTTGTACAATTCATCTATGTTAGATTTAGTCAACATTTTAATAATTCAAGCTTAGTTATATTTTAATAATTCTGATGGTAGCTAATGAACAAAATTGGTGCTTACCAGATGGACCACCGTAATATAATCATATCCAAACATGTATCAACAAACACATATGAGGCCATAATGAACTGAAAAATAATCACAAACACTTCCCAATAATAAACAATTAACAATCACAAAAGAAAAATTAAAAGCCTAATTTTGAGAAAGGCTAAGAAATGACTAACTTGTAAATTGAAGTCCTTGTTTTGGGATTGCTCGTTCTTTCTCTAACCAGAAAAACACACCTCTGTTTTTGCAATAAGTGAGTGGCAGTTAGATAGAAAGCGGAAAACTTGTAAAACCGATCCCAGAAAGAGAAAAATGTTGATTCAATTGGTATCCCAGAAAACACAAAATGTTTATACATCTAATTGCTAGAATAAAAAAATAAGAATGTAAGCATTTTATACAATAGAAAAACAAATAGGCTTCCTAGAAGAAATATATAATCACCTCTATAAAGATCTTTTCCTTGGGCATCATGGATCTTGTTGCCTAGCATTTATACATTAAAATAAACCCTAAGCTTTTAGAAATGTCTAATTGGAAAGTGATGATATAACCAAGAATGAAAGAGCAAACCAAAAATGCTTACAACAATAGCCCATGAAGAATTTTGACTTCCATCTTCGCCCCTTGGGGTAGAACCCTCTCCAGATTCCTAAATCCAGTAGAGATGATAGAGGATTAGCATTAATGTATACAACCCTTAATGAAGCTATAAATTTTGATCCATGATATTACATGTGTTTATTAAGTCATTCTTTTTGTATTAACTTAAAAAGAAATATCCATGTAGTTGATTTACCAGATTACACCATGTTCTCATTAACTAGAAAAGAAATAACACTTAAAAAGTTAATGCTCTTATCTTCATTTAATACTCTTTTGTTCACATTTCCAGTCATATAAAATGGATTCATAAGGGTCAAGCATAAGAATTGTTGCTACATGTCAATTCTTTCGTTATAAAAAAGATGGTAAAGACCCTCACACAATTAATTCTCTAAATTTTCTAACAAAAATGAAGAATTATGTGTAAAGTACATAAACTCGGATCTTGAAAATACATGTTTAACTGGAGTCTGAAATGTACCTTTAGGAGTAGTAACAACATAATGATTGGTTAACTGTTACTCAAGATTCCAAATTCGCCTCTTTACTACTTCACTATTTTCTGCTAATACTGTAATCGTAAAAATTTATACATTCATGACCATTTTCTTTTTTGACTTAATGCAAAAAAGAACAAAACTTAAGTGCTAATGGATTAATTTACTATGTGGTTTTCTTTTTAAGGATGTTACTCTTCAACATGATCAAAATTTTTGTCCTCCGCAACTATAACATCAACATAATCATCTTCCTTTACTTCAATTTTTGCAAGTCGATGATTAGTTGGTATTTAATGAACTAAAAACATAATTTAATAGATGAATTTCTACATTTACCTCTTTATTAAACTCTAAACAACATACAACCTCTATTATCATTGCATCTCCTTGAGCAACAAAGGGACTACTAAAGAGGAAAATCCCATTTTCTGGAATAATGTCCCTCGTTTTAGATAATTTTGAGATGGTTTGGTTGATGTGTGTTGTTGTAATAATGGTCCATTAGATTAGTATAAGTTGGATCTAAATAAGCTAATCGCCACATAAAAGCTGCATAAATTGGAATAATCACATCTTATCCAGATATTAAGAAAATATATTACTTCAGAATGATAAATAACGCCTAATTTCAAAGCTTACATGTTGTTCAAATTAAAATATTAGAATGAAAGGGGACCAGAAGAAATCGTATACCAACCTGTATTACTAAAGCAAATAAATGGTGCAGAAAAGAAAAACTTTATAACAAATAGCACTCAAAAGTGCATCAGTATATGGAAACAGATATTATGGTTCTTCTATCCATTTTCATCTCATTGATTTAACTCTGAATGTGGTGATTACAGTTTAAATTGAACTTTGGACCCCAAATAAGAGTTTGAAAAGTTAATAACATCAACAATAAAAATATAAATTAAGGTTCAGTAAATTAAGAATGAAAAATTATCCAAAGATATGATTACAAAACTTCGACTATGTACCATGTGATTTTCCATGCCCTATAATTTCATTACACAAATTTTATCTCCAACCCAATTTTGGATTTGTTCCGTAAATTCTGAAAAAAAAAACGCAACTGAAGTAAAGTTAAACTTCAGCCTATTATTACAATTGCATCCACTCAATTGGAATCTTATTCAAAAAGTAAGTAAGTTTCTAATATAAGTTATTCACGATAAATATATTAAATGAAGTGGAAGAGAACAATGACAAATATTAAAATGATACTGGAATTGGAATTACCTCCAAATCTTTCTGGTACTCAGGCTCCAATGAAGCAGAACGTCAGAACAATTCGACTCAAAGGTTGAAACCGAGAATATATCAGCTCCAAATATGAGGTATTGAAGTCGGAAGCAAAACCTGGTAGCTAGGACTCAATACTTGTAATTGTTTATAATGATTACTCTACTCCGGTTGAGCAGAACGAAAGTGGAAGAGAAGCAAAATCAAATCGATTGCAGAGAGAAATCGCGTATATATGTTGGGCAAGAGAGGCGGGGTTCATCTAATTGGAAAATGAATATCCAGTGGTAATCTGATTGGAAGACGAAGGAGGTGATCCAAAGTTTAAGTCATAAGTCGCTAAACCCTCAAAGGTGGCTGTCTAGGTTGCGTAGAGGACAACGATGATACTCAGAGAAAGCAGGAACGATTCATGGAGAAATGATATTAAACTTAGGGAGTCGTCGTTTCCCTGAGGACCTGATATTTGTGTTTGGGGGAAGTGTAAACGGAGATGAAGGCACATGGCAGATTTGTAAACCATAGGTATCGGTAGAGAAAGCGATGGACAGAATGGAGGGACCAAAAGTGACAATCTACAGAAGGTAATGTGGCAAAATTCTGAATTAACAAAGAAATGTGGCAAAACTTGGAATGGCAAAATAGTTAGTGTTCATAAGATGTAATGTGATTAAATGTATGTATAATAAAATAGAATTCAAAAAGCAAATATAGAAAGGATTTAAAAGTTGATGTTGATGATAGTTGAAAGCCAATTCAAAAAATGAAATTCCCACATATCTTGAAGCATAAATTTAATAAACCCAAAGTATAAGACACGTCCAAAAATTATTTTATTATAAAGAATTGAAAGGAACCAGTTACCGATCTGAATCTGCTGTCAAAACGTCTCCTCCCTCCACCCACTTTAAATACCACCATCTCCACTTCCCACTCAAACCAACCTTTAATTCTCTCTCAATCAATAATTTTACCTTCCCCATAAAAAGTGGAAAAGGGATTTATTCTTTATTCTGAGTGATCAAAATTTGCCATGGCTGCTAGTGCTTATGTGTTGCTGATTAGCATGTTGATGCCCATCTTTTTGGCTTCCTTCGTCTCTGCAGACCCCGATTTGCTTCAAGATGTCTGTGTTGCAGATCTTGCCTCAGGTACTTCATCTCTACACAATCTAAAGTATTTGAGTTTCCACGCATATTTCAAAAACCCGATTAGATCATTTTGCAATAAACCTCCATTTTTTGAACATATGACTCATCAAGTTCTTGGTCAAATAGTTGATGCAAATGGAAACGAGCGTTAAGCTTTTGAAAAGTCCAAGTCAATGTACTTATCTTTTAGTGGTTGTATATGCCTTAAAGAATAAGCCACCACATTCTTGAAATATATTTTGTCATTATCCCTTTTTATCTATTTTTTCCATGAATACGAGGCATTTATTTCTTAACGTAATTCATTCATGGTCGTGGGAACCGATTATCCCATTGAAAATACTCATTGCATAGTTTGTTTTATAATTCGATGATAGATTAATCGTTTATGAATTCTTGTAAAATACGCAGATTTAAAACTGAATGGGTTCCCGTGCAAAAGCAACATAACAGCCGACGATTTCTTCTTTCCGGGGTTAGCTAAGGCGGCGCTTACCAATAACACATTCGGCGCAACCGTTACACCAGCCTCCGTCACACAGCTCCCGGGGTTAAACACCCTTGGAGTGTCCATGGCTCGTATTGACTACGCACCAGGCGGCCTGAACCCACCTCACACCCACCCAAGAGCCACCGAGATAGTCTTTGTGTTGACCGGAGAACTGGATGTGGGATTCATAACTACAGCAAACAAACTATTCACCAAGACCATAAAGATGGGAGAAGTCTTCGTATTCCCCAGAGGCTTACTTCACTTCCAGATAAACAACGGTAAAGTTCCGGCAGCTGTAATTGCTGGCTTCAACAGCCAGTTGCCGGGCACCCAAAGGGCGGCAGACGCTTTGTTTGGATCATCTCCGACTGTGGAGGATCATGTGTTGACGAAGGCATTCCAAGTTGGAACTAAACAGGTGGAGAAGATCAAATCGAGATTTGCTCCCAAGAAGTAAACTCACAAGTACATAAGTGTTTTAATTGATTTATATGGGTTTTATTGGTTTTGATGTTTCTTCAATAAAGGATTTAGCCATTTAGTAGCAAACAGACATTATATCTGATTTTTTTTTAATAAACCAGTCATTATCTTTATTCTGTTTCGTGTCTGCACGACTACACCTCATGTTCAATAATTCATAAACTATTTTTTAATCCATAACGTTTTTATATTATTTGCCGATTAAATTAAAATATCATGGGCATATAAAGCTTAATCATGACTATCTAAATGCTTTTCTAAATGATTGAGCTATATCATGACTGCAGAAAATTACATAAATGGTCCTTGCGATTTGCAAATTGTAACACCGGAGGTTCTTTTCAAGGTTTGTGAACACCATGGGTCCTTTTGAGAAGAATTTTGCACACGAGGGGTCCTTTTCGTAAACCCTGTTAACTTAGAGATGTGGGTAACCACAAACCTCGTCCGCCACACCAGCAAATCACTATTTCAGATGAAGAAGACATCTTCCCATTTTGACATCTTGCTTACTTTTTTTGTTTGTACATTAGTTTATGTTTCTGTTTGTTGCTCCCTGTACTGTACTGATTGCATAGCTTCTTGTTATGGTTTCATTTTTTCTAATATATGCTTCTTATTCGTCGTTTTCAAAAAAAAAAGATGAAGACAAATGAAGAAGAAGACGAACTGAACATATAAAGCAAAGATGCAAATACCAAATCGCCCTCATGTTGGTGGAGGGCACGTGAGAGACACAAACGTCTATAGGTTAACGGGGTTTACGAAAAGGACCCCTAGTGTGCATAGTTCCTCTCAAAATGACCCATGGTGGTCACAACCTTTAAAAAGGTCATCTGGTGTTATAATTTGCCAACCTCAGGGACCATTTATGTAATTTTGTCTGGAAAATACCAATTTGTAATTACCAAGGAGCTGTAGAGGTTGGTTAACCACTTGACCAACAATGAACCGGATAGCAGGTAATAATCTTGTTGAACGACAATTGCGAATTACTCCATTTTGTTTTGATCGCCTAATAAAGATGTATATTCTACGTCGGAGAATTTTAATATAGGCATATTTTTAGTTTTTATTTTCTTCTAGAACGACTTATACATACGTGACTCTATTACGTAACTTTATAAACTGAAATTTTCGTTAGACATGGGAGTTGAACTCTCAATGTATGGTTGATGGGCACATTTTCACCAATATCTAATGCCGTTCGGTTACAATAAAAGACCAAATATATAGAACCACCCCACTATATTAATCTTGCGCCACCATCCACCCTTATCATATTCTTATCATTTGTAATAACTTATTGTTTACCAAATGCTTGTTTGCAATGTTAATGTAATATGTAGTTTTAAAGTGGTTTGTCGGATAACATATAATTAAGTTGCTTATGTAATTATGAGGTGTAGGGAACTTTACGCATTTCTTCTCTGTGTTCAAGGATTGCTTTTTGGAGAGTTTCAAATGACTCGGAAGAAGTGTACTTATGGTCTTATCATCTGTCATGTAAAACTTCCATAATGATTTTCGTATGTGTTGAGAAAGTTTCAAAGTCCCCACAACCTTTTTATCTACATATGCTTATGTTAGACTATTAGGTATGGCCACTTGAGGTGGTGTTATAACAAGAAGCAACAAAAAGAATGGGTGGTGTTCATGATGTTATAACACCCGTTAAGAGGAGAGAGATAGAGAGAGATAATGTGTGCAGCCAATAGATGATCTTGTTTCATCTAGTCATGGAGACAACAAGAAGCAACACAACTAGATACAACAAGAAAGGGGAGGGGGGAGGGTGTTTTTGATGTTATAACAGCATTATGGGCTGCCACATCAGCCTTAACGGCGTTGTGTGGTGACCCATACCACTTGGTCTTAAGAATTTGCAGGTTCCATGTCCTTTTATTTGAACTCTAGATAACCACCTCTATAACTTATTTATCCCATTCATGTCGAATCCGAGCAACAACATGACATCAACATATAGTAAAATGATTATGCAAGAGGATTGTTCAGGTATCCACAATATTGTTGGATCATAATGTTATTTTCAAGATTAACAAAAGTACCTAAGCAACGGAAGCAATAAACATAAGTCGTCATTATCGAAACATGAATCTAATGTTCGTAAATTAATTGCAATTTGTTTAACATACGGGAAAGGTTGTGATGAATACTGATGTGTTTTATTTGCACTAGTTTTTTATTTATAAATTCTTATTAAATCTCAACTAGTCTTAAACACAAATAGGCAGTGTACCTAATCGTGAAGTAATATAGTTATGGTAAGAAATGATATCAAACACAGAAAACGTGATGACTTAGATCAAATAATTCAAATGTCAATTAAATTAATAATAGTAAAGTAAACGGTGGTTTTTGTGTAAACTAAATTAAACTAATTTTAACGCTTAATTAATCAACGAAACTAAAGAATTAAATGGAAACAATAAATGAGAAGTACTTTCACTAGACTACGAATCCCCCAAGTTTTTATGTTTAATTTATTAGAAGTGAAATGGATTAATGAATTGATTACCGAATTGTAATATGACTAGTTATCTTGATCGGATTTCCTAGTACTAATAATTAATGAACAACTAACACAATGATCATGCAATTAGTGAACACATAATTAATTAAATATATTCGAACTATGAATGATATGATCTAGTGATTTCTTTTCAATGATCATGACAATTAATCTAAGCATAACATGGATATCTAATGCTCTCTAACACAATCAAAGTCACCGATTAATATTATCTAACCCTAGGCTTATGATCAAAGTCTCAGTCATACAAACCTAATGATCATACATCCATATGATTCAAGTACATCAAGATAGAATGATCATCTAATCCTAATAATACTCAACAATAAGAAATAAAAATCATAACATTAACATGAAAGGTAAAGCAATCAATCGAACACAAGTAAAAAACAAATTCAATTAATTCTACTAACGGAATCAAAGCATATCAACAAGGCTTCATCAAGATTTAGTGAAAGTAAAGATTTTTACACCATATTCAGTAAAATAAAGAAGAAAGCATCACCAAAATATTGCGAGACACGATCATCAAGCAGACCCGAAGTGAAATCTCGATACAATAGCGCTTGAATCTTCAAATCCTTGCTCCAATTGAATCTCGAGCTTCAAAATCGACCCTTGGAAGGTTTTTTCTCGTGAATAATCGCAGCCCTAAGGCCTCCTCCTCCTAGAAATGACCTAATGTCCAGAATATATAAACTTGCCAGATTCTGGCCAACGCGACGTGGTTAAGAGGCACCACGTGGTGGTCTTCATGGATATCCCCTATTCTCCAAGTCAACTCAATGATCGCGAAGTTTCCATTTACCACATCCTGGTGGTGATCACCACGTTGTGTTGACTACGAATCAACATTTTCTTAAAGCACGAAAGTTGTCCGAACTTTTGTCTAGTTTTCTGATCATTTTTAATCGCCTTAATCGGAGTTACGAGTCATGAGATATGGTCAAAACACTGACAAGGGGTCAAGCTGCCAACAACATCAATTTTTGTGTCTTTTTCAGCTCCGTTCTCCTCCTTTTGCATCCCAACTCTCATTTTAACTATAATTGAATATTTTCAAGCATATTAAGTATCATATATCAAAAAATACAACATTTTAATCAAATATATTAAGATAATGGTCTAAAATATATAGTTAAATAAGGCCATATCAAATACCTTAAATGATATCAAGAAGAAATCCAAAAACCGAAAATAGCCTTTATTTTACAATTGCACCCTAAAGCTACAATCAAGCAAGATCTTCAAGTCCTCCTTTCTTGGCTACCAAGCAAAGTTGAAATAACCCTTTTGGAGGGATGTTTGTATTGTAAAATGAGAGGATATAGGATAGAATAGGTAAAGTGATCAGGGTTGATACAGTCTTCATTCCAAAGGGTTTCCATGCCTCATATAGTTACATATCCCCTATGGTTTCACTTTCTCTCCAAGTTTGCTTAAGTATGATAATAATACCATAATGCAAAATTTGAACCATTATTGCATGAATTATCTTTTTATTTTAATTTCTAATAAAACCATTAATTGATAATCGATAATGAATTAGTCCATCATATTAGTTTATTCTTGCTTTTAAGATTAAGCTAAGTGTGTAAACCAAGAAGCCCATGTTGTTGGAGATATGCCTATTGTCACAACAACTTAGTGACAAAATTAATAAATACACATGTCTATTGATTTACACACTTGGTTCAATCTTAAAACCAAGAATAAATAAAGAGATGGATTAATTTTTTTTTATTAATTATTAGTTAATGGTTTAAGTAAAAATTAAATAATAAGGAACTTTTATGGAATAAATCTTCAAAGCTTTAATTATAGTATTATTAACATAACTAAGCTATAGGCCCGTGTGAATAGTTGCACTCGTGTAATGATCTTAGAAGTAGGTTTTTAAAAGTTAAGATTCATAACTTACTGAAATAAAGGGTGTGAATTTTAACTTAACAATCTTAGGTAAACTCATGTCAGTACATGTCATGTAGCGTATAACTTTTTGTAGCTCCACATAGACAACTTTTTGTAGCTCCACATAGATAGACTCATGACACCAACTTTATTCGATACATTGGACACCACATACTTTCGATGCACTAGGCATAACATACGTTTGATGAAAATGTAAAAAATGTTCAGTGATGACGTAATATATATTTGACATTACACGTGCATTATAATATTGACCTTACAAATAGGTTTTTAAAATTTACATTCATAAATTATTCCAACAAGGGGTCTGAATTTGAGCGACAACCTTAAGTAAATTTAATCACAATAGTTGTCATATAGTAGATAACATTTCGTAGCTCCACATGATAGATGTGTATGTTTTTTTTTTTTGAAAATGATGATTTAATTTCCATACCACTAATTTTGTTCTATGCATTGGACACCACATATGTTCAATGTCATGGAGATATCAAAAGAAAACAACAAGATATGGGCTCATTAGGTATCTATTTTGTCAATTTCTATTGGTTCATCTTTAGAAAAAGAAGTTGAACATAAATATGAAGATTTGTATGTTGAAAAAAAATTGGAATTTGTAACAACCTAAAATCTAAATATTTATAAAATATATTTAAACAAAAAACAAAGCACAAGGCATTCAAGAAATCAAACCCAAAAAAAAAAAAATTAAATGAACTATTCATCCCATCAACTCAATAATGAAATACATCTGTGTCTAAATCCTAATCTCGATAATTCAACAATACATAATGTTGGTATGGATGTTAGGATACCTCTATTCAAAAATCAAGATATCCCGATAGTTGGATCTACGGAAAATAACAAGACAAAGTAGATAGGTCTTCAAAATAAAAAATAGATATGGAAACCGATTGGGAGCTAGAGAGGGAAAAGAAGGACTGCTTTCTTGTGAGGTTGGTTATCTTTATTATGTACCCATTATCCTTTATATATGGTATATTTTCCCCTTAATTAATGGGGATATAAATACTCACCATTTAAAGAAAGGATAATTACACTTAAAATCGTAA